ACTCTGACGCGTTTTTCTCTCTGATTCTGCAGGTTTTTATTCTTAATTTTGTTTCATCTTTAATAAACAAATAAAATGTTTTTATAAACATTAAATTAAATAAAAAATGTTTTATTCATTAAATGTTTAAATTTAAAATCCTGCAGGAGGAGGTGCAGCAGTTTGGGACACAGGAGGAGAAGGAGGAGGAGGAGGAGGAGGGAGGGGGGCATTCCCCTTATTAACTCACGCACTCTCACGCACATGCACGCACGTGTAAATGAGGAGTGAAGTCCCGCTGCTCTCATGCAGCTAAAAACAGAAACATCTTCAAAATAAATTCAGATCTGAGTTTAAAAACATGAAAAAATTTTCAAAATAAAACATTTTTTATTTTTCACTCAACCGGAAACATAAAAAGCTGCAGAAAAGCTGAAGTTTGGAGCTAAAAGCTGAACCCGGATCAGACTGAAAGGTTTTCTCACCGAGGTGGAGGACCAGGAGGAGGGAGGTGCATGTGGAGGAGCAGCTGACTCCCATCATCCTCCTGGAGGAGCAGCTCACTCCCATGATCCTCCGGGGCTGACCATCATCACACTCACAAAGTTAGAGCCGCAGAGGAGGAGCCGCACATCCCGCAACAAAACCCGCAAACAGTTACATCCACAGGACCGCTCCTCTTCCTCCTCTTCCTCCTCCTGTGATGGTGCTGCTCCTCTTCCTCTCTGCTCCTCTTCCTCTCTGCTCCTCTTCCTCTCTGCTGCTCCGCTCGGAGCTTCACTCCGTTTTACGTCCCGACAGAGAAAAGAAAAGATGGAGAGAAGCTCCTCCTCCTCCATCCCTCCTTCATCCTCCCTTCTTCATCATCATCATCATCATCGTCATTAATATTTTTATTTTATTTTCAAAACGAGAAAAAAAAGACAAGCTCTTGTTTCTAAAAATAAACAGAATAAAATATTTAATCTGAGGAAAAGTTAAATCGATCCCAAAGAGAAGCTGCTGAAATGAAACTGTTAGATTTTGGTCGATAATTATAATTAAAGAGCTGAACTGGACCAGGAGCAGGTCTGAGGGGGGTCATGGGGGCCAAGGCCCGTTCAGTCAACTTCAACTTGTTTTAATTTTTTTATTTGTCATTTAGTTAGAATGAGATTAATCTGAGTGGAGCTGCAGGACCAAGGCCTGTCCAATAAAACAGACTCTTATATATTTTATGTTTTAAGTATTTTGTTATAAATTTAAAAAATAATAATAATTTGGGGCCTTTATAAGGAAGGCTGYTGGGTCTAGGCCCGTCCAATCAAATGTTTCTTTTTTAGAGATGTAATTAAATGAAAATAAATATATCAGGGAGCGGGGCTGGTGTGGACTTTAGTTTCCCCAAAGGTCCACCCAAAGCCACGCCCCCTGATGATTGACAACTTGTGTTAAATCTCATTTATTCAAACTGCCTAAATTTATTTATTTCTTTTTCTCATTCTTTGCACCTAATTAAAAAAACTAAACTATTTCAATAAGAATATTTTTTTCAGCATTTCTTAATTTATTGCTGGTACATTCACCAGGTCCCTCAGGTTTAGTGAGTACTTGTTGAAGTATGTGAGTAGTCCCGAGCAGCACAGTGTCTTTTACATTTCTTTGGCATAGACTCTACATGGGAGTTTGTCCAGTTGCTCTTGAAATCCTCTCTTCATGGTTCCTAAAGCTCCAATT